AAACCGTTTCATCTCGCTCGCACCACTTGTGTTTGCTGCCTAATCAGGTGACGTTATCGGCGCTATTTTTAGCCGGGCTTTCCCGAACAATTCAAGTGGTCAAACTGGACATTTGGAACGGACTATGAATATGGGGATAGCGAGGTAACATAAGTGGAAGTGCATACAATACATACATTCATTAAAAAAACACGTCTTTTCACGTGATGTCCCTTTAAATAAATGTATTTCATTATTGGGTATTATGCAACTTTGATACGTTGCTTAAATTCATTCTCAATTATTTCAAAAGGTATTGTTTGTGTTTTTTGTGTTAATTTATTTTTCATCAAATGTTACATAACTAATAAATCCGGATTTTCCGCTTTCCGTCTCCTTCTTTACTTCTGTCTATATTGTCGATATCATTTCCCAAATTTAGAAAAAAATATTAAAAATACTTTCAGGACAGATAAACCTTCGATATTTTACATATATCTCCAATGAATGACAAAGAAAGTATATTTTGGTCCATTCTCTTGAATTGAGCGTATTTAAGATCCATATTCCTCCGTTTCGGTAATGCAGCGCCATCGAAAATCGTACCGTGAATCTCGGCTATTGCGCGTCTTTAAATGATAAATAAAAATTATTTCCAGTCAAATTTAACTACCTATCTGTTACATGAAGCTTTATTGGGTTATAAAGAATGCATATATGGGTCCATTCTCTCGAAATAATGCCAATTTAAGGCCCATTGCCCTCCATTTCGGTAACGAAAATCGTGCCGTGAATTGCGTTATTTTGAAAAATTAATTTAAAATAGATGTAAACAAAATAAACGCCCAATCTTCTACATATGACTCCAGTTGGTGATGAAGAATGTAAATTAGGGTCCATTCTCTTGAAATAATGCAAATTTAAAGTCCATTTCCCTCCATTTCGGTAATTCAACTCCATTCCGGTCCATTTCGGTAAATACCCCAGCCCCGCGTGCAACGCCGCACGCATGACATACGATATCTAGACTGTGTCTATACAATTATATATTCTACTTTATGCGAAATTCAAATTTTCAAACCGAACATTCGGCCAGGTAACTATCCTAAGCTTGCTTGACCGGAACAACTTTTACATGACCTCGATGCAGCAGGACAATGGGAGACGGACTGGCTAATGCAATTTCACCCCGACAAATGTAACATACTTATCATTACACCGAAACGCAACAAAATATACCATGGTTACAAACTCCACAACCACACATTACACAAAGTAGAAACAAGCAAATACTTAGGACTAACACTACAAAACAACCTACGATGGGACAAACACATAAACAATATCACAGCCAAAGCCAATAGGTCCCTAGGTTTTCTCAAACGCAACCTGAAAATAAACTCACCACATATAAAAGAACATGCATACAAAGCACTAGTTAGGCTTAAACTTGAATACTGCTCTTCCATTTGGGATCCACACAACACAAACCAAATTAAACAAATAGAAAAAACACAACGAAGAGCAGCACGCTACGTACAAAACAGATACCACAACACTAGTTCCGTAACAGACATGATCCACACACTTCAATGGCCAACACTACAAACACGACGCTTATACACTAGAATTATCCTTTTTTACAAAATTATACACAGAATCGTAGCTTTAAACCCAACACATATACTCACACCTGTAGACCCCCGCACCAGACAGGTACACCAGTACGCATACAAACACATATCTGCTACAAAGGACACCTACAAATACTCATTCTTCCCACACACAGTAACACAATGGAATCTCCTTAATTCCCTTAGCAGCAGTCCAATGCACAACACTAGAGGACTTCAAGGCACACTTACCCTACACAGCCCTTGAAGCCCTCATCACACGCTAGTACATACACCAGCTTTTAACTTTTTATCTATACCTTGCACAAAAAAAATCACAAAAAAACCCACCCCACCCCTAATCACTATAAATAACCCCCTTCACGCCTCTACAATAGGACCCCCCGATGGCATAATCATCAAACTGATGGAGCCCTCGTTTCAAGAAGAAGATTGTCAGATTAGCTTGAAATACTTATACTAGTCAGTAGAAAATGAAAAACAAACTAACAAAAATTGTTTGATGTGTACAATAACTAAATAACAACATAAACTGGGTTTAGTTTTGGCCGTGATTTGCCAGGTTTTAAACCCCATCTCGTAACAAAGCATAATTCTTCACTCCGCCAATGTCAATACAGGTTACCACAGCGTTTGACTGCACCATATATCTGTATATAGTAAATTTAACAGGAGCATTTAAAATGCTGAAGTGACATGACTCAAAATGACTCCAAGGTAGAACATGTTTGCTGGACATTTGGTCCAGAATTACGATAGTGATTGCCAGACCGGCAGTAAATCTTACCGAACATGTCCTTCAAACCGGTATGTTTAGAGCGATTATTGTCTCTGGACTTCGTGGGCGCATGTGCGGTAATAAGAAACCTTATAGTTATAATTGAATGAAATAAGCAATTAAAGTATAAATTATATATTATATAATCGGGGGGGGGGGGGGGGGGGGGG